GCTGGAAAGTCAAAACCAGCTGGAAAGAGCATGGTGGGCTAGAATCGGGCGAGAACTTGCAAGACCAGGATTTGGCCTGGCTGGGTCATGGCTCTGCCACGTGGCTCTGACCACCTCACCTGAATCTCCCTGGACATCCGTTACCCCAGTTACCCCACCCGGAGTGGAAGATTTCTGAGCTCTTCCCACTGAGAAGAGCTTTCTTTCCCTGGGTCTAGGCGTCAGGAGACGGGTGGTGGGGGGGTGGTATGCAGCAGGCCTCGGTCAGGCGGGTACAGGTGCTGACAGACCGTCTCTGAAGGGCTCTGGGTGGGTGGTTCCCCCAAGGGTACAGCTGCTGTTCTGGGTCTGGCGGTGGCCCGGGCTGCGGGGTTGGCAGGAACAGCCGTGCCCACCGCGTAAAGGACCAGGGGAGCGACAGACGGGCTGGGTGTCCGGGGAGGAAGGAATCGCCCACCTCCCCCTGACAATGCAGAGATGGCATTTTCTGTCCCTTTACTCCCTGCATATTTCTGGGCACAGAGTACAAAGAGCGGTCAGAGGGCTCAGCCAGGACAGAGGAAACAGATGGGGCTCATCGTTGTCTCCTCCCAGGACCTCGGAGGACGGAGGGTCGCTCATCTCTGAGGTCACCTGCTCCGCTGCAGAGCTCACCCGGTGCCCATGGCTGTGCCGGCTGTGTCCGCAGCGCAGGAGGCGACATGTTATTCTACGTCCGCATGCGTGGGTGCCCATCACCGAAACAGAAACTCCGCGAAATGCGAGGCCTCCTGCGTGGTCCTCATTCCTACTCCTCTGTGGAACCCGCGCAGCCCCGACCCCCTGGCGGGCGGGCTGTTCGTTTGAAACCTGCGGCCAAGTGCAGCTGGAGCAGCCAGCTCACTGCAGGATGGAAGTGAGGGGACGACGGGCCGAGGCCCTGGTGTTCGTTATGCATCGTGTGCGAAGCCCTGGCACACTTTCCAGGTCCCTGGCGTCTCTGCTTCCTCAGAGGGTTCCTCTGAACCCTCGTACGTTCCATCTATCCCATGCCGCACAGAGCGGGGCTGCGGGACCCAGCGAGGAGGGAAGGGAGACCCCTTGGGCACCTGTAGCAAGTGTTAGGGAAGAATCTTTCGATACATGGTTTTATAAATGTGGACATTTGATATTCTGAGCTGAAAACCACTGGGGATCCCAGCTCCTGGGCCAAGTCCAGAGCCACCTTGGGTACGTGGTTAGGAGCCGGAGGAGGGCTCGAAGCCCTGACCCACGCAGACCCTCCTGCATAGAGGAAGGTGTGCCAGAGCCCGCCAACAGCCCCGAGACATTGTACAAATGTTCGCGTGGTGCCAGTTTTATTCTAATGTGTGGTGTCCCTCCTGCAGTTTGTCTTCAAACACAGACCAAATTCCATGTGATTTTTCCCCTGTGGTGCCAACACTGCCTGCGGGGCTCTGGGCAGGACCGATGGGGAGGCCAGCCATCCGGGGCCTCAGGTCTGACCGAGGCCATCGGGGTTCATGGGACAGACCCACAGAGGCGTCAACACCAAGGCGACCACAGTCTCGTTTGTGGTTTGGCATTTTCTTTATGGGTAAATAAACCTTCTCCCGAGACCCAGAGCTGGTCTTTTCAGACCCTGTGGTAACCTGAGGTTTGTCTTAGTAAAATCACAGAACGTCAGGGCTGCAAACAGTCCTGTGAAGGAAGGCCCGCCTGCTCTCAGGGCTGGCTCGCGGGTTCCGTCCGTCCCTGCCCTGAGAGGGCCCGAGTGACCCGACATCCCAGTCAGCGTCATTCTCTTATTGCCGGGTCTCGCCCTTCGCCGCACTCGGAGCCGTCACCAGTCATTCATGCGTCGGGACGCACGGGCTCATTAGCGCCTTTGCCAGGATCGTTCCTTCCGGGGACAGCATCCGTCACCCGAGTCCTGCCATGTGCGCGGGGGACTGAGGGAGCACGTCCTTCAGGGGCACGACAGGCCTTGCTGGGGTGCGGTGGCGGGGGTGGGGAGGCGCTCACTTCTAACAGCTGATCCACATCTGGCGGAAACTCACACTTACCCGACGGTGACATCACAGTGTCGCCTCCGCTTCCAGGTGAGCTCAGGGGAGGCTGCAGGGTGAGCGTGGGACTTTTCTAAACCTGCTGGTCTGTCCTTCCGCGCGGTGAGAATGGGCCTGTCGGGACTGTTTCCTGTTTGTCACCCACGTGGCAGGATGCACAGCCTCTCTCATTCGTCTCCGTCCTCCTGTCCACCTGTTTCCTTTGGGCATTTCTTACAGCGCCTGGCAAAGCGAAGGTCCCGCGCTGTGTACAGAGACTCCTGGTGCCTGAGTGTGCCCACTCACCTTCGGGGGCAGCATCCCGGCTCTCACCGGCCCAGCGGGGCTTGACAGGGGACCTGAGGCTGCACCCCCAGCCCAGGTGGGCTTGACAGGGGACCTCAGGCCACACACCCTGACTGATGGGGCTTGATGGGGGGGTGGACCTCAGAC